CCCTCTCTCTCTGCCCCCGCCCCTGCTCGTGCTCTCTCTCTCTCTCTCTCTCTCTCTCAAAAATAAATAAACATTAAAAAAAAATTTTTTTTTTTAAAGGCTCTTCATCCAATCATTCATTCATTCAACGAATATTCTGCTACGTGCCGTGTGCGGTGTTAGCATGTGGGGCCAGGCCACCATTAGGAACGAGATAGCCGTGGGCTTTGTCTTCATTAGCTTGTGGTCTAGCGGGGGACAGAGTTCATAGCCATGCTGACAAATGAACGCCGTCGATAACAAAACCGCACCCGGCAATCAGGTCTTTAAAAGGAAGTGACAGGTGAGGCCATAGAATTAGTGCTGTGAGGGACAGGCCTGTGGAGGTCAGGAAGTGGCAGGGGAGAACCTACTTCAGGTTCAGGTCAGGAAAGGCTTCTTCGGAGGAGGTGACAGAAACTGAGACCCAAAGGATAAGAAGGGGCCAGTCGTGCAAAAATCAGGGGGAAAAAGGTACGAAAGAGTATGTTCCTTGGGTGCCATATCTGTAAACTTCGCAAACATGCAAAACGGCTCTGTGCGTTGTTTCTAGAAAACTCCTTGTGTAGTGAAAATGGCAAGGCTCCCTACGCGCTTCGGGATGGCGGTTAACCTTGGAGGGTGAATGAGTTGGAGGCAGAGACGGTCTTCAGCTACATCAGGTGTTTTCTTGAAGTGAACCAAGTGGGGACAGATGCGGCCGGGGGTCACTTATGTTGTCTCCAGCCGACGGGCACGCGGTTTTCAGCTGTGTTCCTCATTATAATTTCCGAATGCTTGAAAAATTTCATGAGTATTAATTTTTTAAGAGTAGGCGGTGAACCCTACCAGTGTCAAGGCTCACTGTGGCTGCAGCTCTTGAAGGGAAGAGGGAGGCCCATGCTGGGGAGGTAGGCGGGGACCAGGTTATACGGGTCTGGAAGACCGTGGCCACGAGTGCAAATCTTAATGTAAGTGTTTACGTGTGATACCCGCTGAGTGACGTGATGGGATTTACATCCACAAAGATTGCAGTGGCTGCTCTGAGGAGAAGTAGTGGAGAGTCGAGTCAAGGACGGCATCAGGGAGATTAGTTAGGATCTCCTGTAGCTGTCTGGAAGAGAGCTCATGTCTCCCACCAGCACGGCCATGGGACGCCATGGAGTCAGAGGGGCGGTCTTGACATCTGCTGCCGGGATTTGCTGAGGGATTGGATGGGGGGGGCATTGAGAGAGCAAGAGGTGAAAGGTGACTTTCTTTGTCCTTTTTTTTTTTTTAAACACCGTTTTCAAGGTCTAATGCACACACCATACAGTGTACCATTCACTGTTTTTTGGTGGGAATCTTTGGCTTTCTTTTTGAAACCCGCGTGGATGGTGGTTTCAAACACAGCAAAACCTCGGAGGGCAAGTAGCTTGTTCTGCGAGTATTCCTCAAGATCGGCAAATGTTCCTAATTCGTTTTAACTTGATAAACAGATGCTGTCTGGCGATACGAGTCGTATGTGACACGGAACGTCCCATGATCGCAACTGAGCCAGTGTTCCTGAAATTCGCTTTGATGTACGAGTGCTTTGGCTTACGAGCATGTTTCTGGAACGAATTATGCTTGTGAACCAAGATTTAGTTGCTGCGATGAGGAAAATAGGGCAGGAACGGGTTTGGGGGTGGGGCCTGGGGGGAGGGTACCTTGGGGGAGGTAAATTTGAGGTGCCTAGGAGATAGGAGATATCCAAGGAAGGGAAGTCACATGGGAAGTCAGGTATTCACACCTGGGTCTTGAGATAAAAATTGTGTGTAGTGAACAAATGAGAGTCTAGAGATAGATGTGAGTATCCAGAGTGAGAGTGTAGGTGAAGAAGGTGTGTGCGGAAGGGGCCGGGGGACTTCTAGTCAGATGCACCGAGAATTCACACTTTGACCAGCCCGACCCTTTTTTCCCCCCAAACACTACAACGAGAGTCTAAGAAAAACAAAAAAAGATGAACCCCTCCCCAAGACTAAAGCTCCAAAACGAATGAAGCAATGTTAAAAAGGCAGCCTCTGAATAACCAATGAAGTCACACTAAAATAAAAATTATAGAGTATTCTGAAAATGAATTTAAAATGACCGTTTAGGGACGCCTGGGTGGCTCAGTCGGTGGAGCATCCAACTTCAGCTCAGGTCATGATCTCACGGTTCGTGAGTGTGAACCCCACATCGGGCTCTGTACTGACAGCTCAGAGCCCGGATCCAGCGTCAGATTCTGTGTCTCCCTCGCTCTCTGCCCCTCTCCCACTCACGCTCTCTCTCTCAATCTCTCAAAAATAAATAAACATTAAAAAAGATTAAAAAAGAAAGAAAGAAAGAATAAAATAACCATTTAGGATTTGTGTCAGGAATAGGCTTGACTCTGAGTAACTGAGATTCAAAATAACAGCAGCTCAAGCAAAATACAAGTTACATTTTTCTACTATGAATACATTGAATACCTTTTGGGGCCGATGCGGTGGCTCTGCCTCAGTAAGTCCCCAGGGAACCAAGCTTGATCCCAGCTCATCACTATCTCAGTGTTTGGATTATCCTCATAGTCTGGTGAGTTGGTAGCTAGGACTCCAGCCATTACGTCTGCATTCCAGGCAGTAGGATGGTGGAAAGGCACGTATCAGCTGTTTTTTGAGGAAGTTTTCAAGAAGCTGACAGATGACACTTCCAACTATCTCCTATTGGCCAGAACTTAATTAATGGAGAAGCCACGAAACGTATTCTGTTATTACACGCAGCCAAGTGCCCAGTTAGAATCCAGGGGTTCTGTTACTGCGGACGAAGGAGGCAACAGATAATGAGGGATAACGAGCAGTCTCAGCCTTCGGATCCTTGAGGAAATGAAGGATAACACCCACTAAAAAGAACAAAACAGTGGATTTTTGTTTGTGTGTTTGAATTTCAAACCTCTGCTCTTCGAAAGATATCATTAAGAGGATGAATAAACAAGCCTTCGATTAGGAGAAAACATTTGTAGGTCGTATGTCTGATGATGGACTTGATCCAAAGTATATTTTCAAAAAACCCTCAAAACTCAATAATAAGGAAAAAACAACCAATTTCAAAAATGGGCAAAGATTCAAATATCTTCACCGGAGAAGATATGCAGCTGACAAGTAAGTGCACAAAATGATGTTCAACATCATTAGTCATCAGAGAAATAAAATTAAAACCACAAGGAGATACTGCTTCATACCTATTAGAATGGCTGAAATAAAAAAGACTGTTCATGCCAAGTATTGGCAAGCATTGGACCAGCTGGTGGGTCCATAGGCTGGTGTATGGAAATATAAAATGTTGCAGCCACTTTGGAAAACAGGTCAGCAATTTCTTAAAAGTTAAACGTATACTTTCCACGTGACCCAGCCATTCCACTGCTAGGTATCTGCCCACAAGAAATGTGCATGTCTACAGAGAGATTTGTAACTGGATTCTCATAGCAGATTTATTTGTAATAGCTGAAAACTAGACACAACCCAAATGTCCATCATTAAGTAGATACAAAGGCAAATTGTGGCACATCCAAACAATGAAATACTACTTACCAGTACAAAGGCGTGAACTCGGATGCGCCCATCAATATGGACAAATCTCAGAATTGTGCTGAGCGAAAGAAGCTAGACATGGCTTCTATTTGATTTCATTTGTGTAAAATCCTAGAGAACACAGAGTAATTTTTAGCGACAAGAAGTAGCTTGCTGGTTGCCTGTGGACTGGGGATGGGAGGTATGGGAGGGGGCAGGAGGGGAGGTTCTGGAGCACAGAGACACTTAGGGGAGATGGATATGTTTGTTTTCCTGATTGTGGCAGTGGGTGTATACATTTGTCAAAATGTATCAAATGGGTACATTATATGTCAATTATACTTCAATAAAACTGTTAGGAAAGGAGAAAAGGAATGTGGCATTATGAAACAGAGTGGAATGAACAAAAGGTGGCTATGAAGATGCTGGGAATGAAAAATACTCATTGCATTAAAAGTTCTCATTCAGAAAGGAAGACCAAAAAGAAAGGAAGAAGCTTAATATGTGGATAAATTCTCAACTAGACACAGTCAAAGAGAGAATTAGTGAATTGGAGGAGAGTTCTAAGGAATAGTCCCAGAGCACTGCCAAAAAGAGAGAGAGAGAGAGAAACAGAGAAAGGTAGTTAAAAGACATGAGGAATACTCCTAAATATGTTTCCTAGAAATCCTACACGAAGAAACTGGAGACAGTGACTCAGAAGCTGTATTCGTGAACGTAAGAGTTTTTCAAAATTTTCGAGAATTCAAGAAGTAGGTTTTCATCAAGTAATTAGCTCCTCAAGTAATGAGAATTCTAAGAAAATAAATCTCCACTTCAAAACCACAGAGGGAAATTGCAGAAAATCAAAAATGAAGGGCAAGTCTCACATTTTACCATAGATGGCCGACCCACAAAGGAACAACAATACGTTGCCGAACAGCCTAGGGGCAGCCTTTTGGGCGATCTTCCAGGTGCCGAAAGAAAATAAAACAACCTGCTTAGAATTCCATTCCCAGCTGAACTCTGATTCAAACGTGATGAGGAAATAGGACATTTTCCAGGAGAAAAGAGCCCGGCCCAACCCTGAGGCTGTTGAGGATTTAGAGGCTGGCAAGAGGAGCCCTCTCACATCACAGGTGCTCCGTCATCCGGTGCTGGCCTCTGTGCCTCCCAGAAGCTAGAAGAGAGAAGGGGGGCTGGATCCAACTTTCATGGTGGCCGTGCGTGGCTACTGGAAATGCTGCTCGTTGGCCCCGTTGCCGGGTCTGTTATCAGCACAGGAGAGGAAGATGGGATTCCTGGCCCTACGTAGGGTTTCATCCTACAGCAGTGGGGGCATTGTAGCAGGAGGGCAAGAGGAGGGGAGGGGAGGTAGCAGACGGGCCAGGCCCCTGACCCTGGCGTGGGGAGGAGCCCAGGGACACGAGAGCCTCTGCAGGGCGGCCCCTTCTAGACTCTCTCTCTGTCTTCCAGATTGTGGACAAGAATAACCGCTACAAGTCCATAGATGGGTCAGACGAGACTAAAGCCAACTGGATGAGGTGAGTCCTGCTCTCTGCTGCTGATTTCCCGGGAGCCTTGCCCAAACTCTGGAGAGGAAGCCAAAGGAGTGTGCTGGGCCTCTGCGGTCCCCAGCGGTGGAGGCCCCTGAAGGCCCTGGGACTGCCGTTTGCAGGGTTTGGGATGTGTCTAGTTCTGGGGGACCCTCTTGCTTCCCCGGCCTTCCATCGGGGGGGCTCTGGAAGAGGCCGGTGGGTTACAAGGACCCCTAGAGGCTTCACATTTGTCCCTGTGTCTGGAGTACCCAGGGCCCCCAGCTCCGGGCAGCATTCCCACCAAGGAGGGGCCCCCCTCCACCCAGGATCCCTCTCAGAGGGCAGACTCCTGACAGAGGGGTGCAGGGCTCATCCCACTACAGCTGCCAACAGTTGTTTAAATGGCCTCCGTGGGAAAGGAGGCTCCCAGCACAGTCTCAGCTCAGTTTTGGATGGCCCTTGCTGCCCAGGCGTGAGTACTTTCAAGAGTGGTTTTACAGCGGTCTGGTGTTGGGGACGGAAGTGTGTGCCAGAAGGATCCTTAATGGCCAGAGAGAGCAGGAGACTGGCCCAGGGTCACCCAGGGGTGGCTGCACTGAGCCTCTGGAACCGAGGACCCAGCTCACGGCTCTCCTTTTGGTTCCATGCCGTTGGCCTGTGCGGTGTGCCGGGGCCCGGCCCAGAGGGGTCTGCGGGCCGTGTGAGGGGTCAGACTGGTGTCGGTGCCTTGCCCAGGAATGGTGACAGGATCTGGGTTGGGAGGGAAGGGAGGTCTCGGATGGCCACACGCGGGGACACCGTGGATCGGGCCTCTGTCGGCGTTTGCGCAGTTGTGTGACCCGTGGCGGCTGGGGGGTGCAGGAGAGGTTGTGTTTGGAGGGAGGGCAGTCAGAGACCTCCTGAGAGGGAGTTTGCCATATTTAAACTCTGACACCTTCTAAGCAAACAGGGAGAGAAGGTGGTTTGCACTGGGGAGTCTATGGTGAGCCCTGGAGCCTTACTGCCCCGCCCACCTGTGCTCCCCACCCGGGAGCCATCAATGGCAGATGCAGGGAGGATGGCGAGAGGGGCTGCGGTTTACCCTCTTCGGAGCACAGTAGGATTTGTTCTCTTATTGTCGGAGGAGCCATTCTCATTGCCACTTAACAGGTGCAGAAGCAGAGGTGCTCCGGGGACAGGTGAGCCCCTGTATCATAGTATAGGGACGCACACTCCCTCCCTCCAGCCCCCTTTCACGTAATCGGGTCAGCCACTGCCCTGAAAGTGGCTCCAAGAAGGCCCTGGACACCCTCCTAACTAACTCCTTCTCCCTGACCACTGGGCACCGATCAGCTCGGCACTTGCATAGCAGAGCCCGTAACTGGGTGCCCTCGATGGATTTGCCCTCCCAGTCCTCCCAGGACTCACACCTTCCACCGTGGAGATTGGTTTTTCCTAATAAAGTTGTTGAATGAAGAAGGCACAGACAATATGGTGCGAGGGCCCAGACCAAAGAGGAGGGGGCCTTGGAGATGGGCCTTCAGAGGGGCCACGTTTTCATTTGAGGGCACTGTGACCAGAGACACGGAAGTGGGGACCAGACCCCTGGCCTGGGCTCCTATTCCCTATTGCTGCGTCTGGCTCTAGACAAGCAAAGGAGAGGGTGTCTGGGCGCAGTCTAGTGTCAGGCCTTTCTGCACCGCTGCTTTTGAGACTCTAGAAGCTTTGCCGACGAGCTGGTTCTGTTCCACACTCCCCGCACCCCCCCACTCTGATCTTTCAGCCTGGGGGCAAGGCTTTCCCACGAGCCCCAAAGAAAGACACCATCTGAACTAACTGAGCGACCATCTGATGCCCCTGAGATTCTGACTTAATTGGGCTGGGGAGGAGCCCACAGTTATCGGTCTTTTTTAAAGCTCTCCATGGGGATTCTGACGTGCCGCTAGGGTGGAGAACCACTACCCTGTACTGATCTTCATGCTACAGTGGTAAACTGAGGCCCGGGGCAGGGCGAGATCTTACTCAAGATCACGAGGACGCTGGCAGAACCAGGACTTGAATCCGCCCCTGGACTTCTGGGCCGGTGTTCTTTGGGCTCGCGCACAGGGCCCAGCCAAAGCATGGCCTCCTGGACTCCGTGTGGGGTGGGTTCAGCTACTGCTCCCTTGCCGGCATGGGGTCTGTCCGATTCCCATTCTGTCCCAGCTGCCGGCCCTGTTCCAATGCATGATGGTGCCAGGGTAGCTACAGGTGGTGCCCCCCCACCCCCGCCCATCTCATCTAAGACTCAAGGTGTAGGTTGAGGTTGGGTACGTGGTTTGCTGCCGTGGAGATGTCCCTCTGGTGGTGGTTGGAGGGGAAAGCCGGTTCATCCTGGGAACCTGCCTTCCCCCTTAGGGTATAGCTTCCTTCCGCTGTATAGCTCATTCCGCTTTGCAGACGCTTTCACTTGTACTGTTACAACCTAGGGGCTCGTGGGTGATTGAATGGAGTTGGTTAGTGTTTTGAAACACTTAAGTGGTGGGCCGGGAAGAGAACGGGCGTCAACGTAATGAGGGTTGACTCGGTGGCCTCCCTACGCCAGGTGCTCTACATCCGTGTCATCGGTGGTCTGAAACCGGGGGCTGTTTTGCTTGGGGGCACTTTGGGGTTGTCACATCAAGCCAGGGAGGCTGATACACATCCTTACTACCCAGGATGTCCGTCCCACTCACCCACAAAGAATTTTCTAGCCCCAACTGCGAATAGTGGTGAGACTGAAAAACCCCCATGACTTCCTCCTGGCTGCCCTGGGAGGTGGCGCTAAAATCACGAGCCTCATTGTCTAGACGGGGAAGGGGGTGGGCACCAGAGGCTCAGCCCCTAATTCCAGGTCTGTCTGAGTGCAAGGCCCGGACCACGGTCCCTGTCTTGGCCGGGTAACAAAGCCCCGACCTTCCTTTCGCCTGAGCTGTGGTGTTCTGGGTAGGTGACATGGAGAGGTAAAGGCTGAAGGATCTCTGTGCCCCTAGCCCCCTGCTGTGGTTTTGGGGGCGGCTGGAGGAGTGAACGGGGCTCCAGTTTCCCCTCCATGTGTTGGGTTCCTCTCTTGGGTTGCTCTTGCTCAAGCGGCCCCTGGCTCCTCTGTTCACGTGGAAGCCAAGGTCACTCCTGGTCTCCATCAAAGGGGAACTTGTCTCCCGGTGGCTGCTCACGGACCGCTCGCGTCCTACCCACGAGCTGCCCAAAGGTCACCGCAGCTCGCCCCGAAACGAGCTGACCCCAGCTGGAGGGGAGCCTACACCCACATCCGGCGGAAGGCGGGGACGGGGCCTGGGGAGGACTTGGAGGCCGGGGAAGGAGACAAAGAGAGCCGCAGGGCAGAAAACGCTTTCTGTGACCACACCCTAATCGCTGGCATCGCCCGGCGAGGAGATTGAAACATCCCCCTGTTTCAGTACTCTTCCTGTGAGCCATCTGTAGCGACCTTGGCCCGGTCCGAACCCCAGTAAGGACCCTTTTTCCCTCTTCGGGGCTTTAACACTCTTCGTCACTCTGCTTTCCCCTCTCTGGTGACCGCCCCGAAGGTGGGGTGGTTGTCCCTCCTGACCCGGCTGGGGAGAGAGGCCGGGAGGGGCTGAGCCAAGCGCCCCGGCTGCCGGGGCCAGCCAGGGCCACCCAGGGCCACGGCAGGGCCCGACACCGGGCCGTCCGGCGCGGGCCGCGTTTCCACCCACTCCGCCGCACCTCTGCTGCCCGCCTGCCCTCTGAGGAGTAGTGGAAGGGGCCTCTCGCTAGGAGGAGGGTGTGGTGGTGGTGAGCAGGCCAGGGTGCCCGGGTGCCTCCTGGCTCCCCAGCTGGGGGCCGGCAATTAGGAAGGAGGAGGACCGCCCGCGCTGACGGTCATTTACCCAATTGTGCTTTGTGGGATATTCAACCCAAGGAATGTGGCGCCCCTGGCTGAGCGCAAGAGGAAGCCCAAGTTCTCCAAGGAGGAGCTGGACATTCTGGTCACGGAGGTGACCCACCACGAAGCGGTTCTCTTTGGGAGGGAGACCATGCGGCTGTCCCATGCCGACAGGGACAAGATTTGGGAAGGCATAGCTCGGAAAATCACCTCCGTCAGCCAGGTGCCCCGCTCCGTCAAGGACATTAAGCACAGATGGGATGACATGAAACGGAGGACCAAGGACAAGCTGGCCTTCATGCAGCAGTCTCTGTCGGGCCCCGGGGCCGGGGGCCGGGCCCCCGCCATCGTGCTCACTGCCCACGAGAGGGCCATCGAGTCAGCGCTGCTCACGGCCCGTTCTGGGCACAGCTTCCCCAGGGCGGAACTGGACGGCACCGACAGCCCCTCGACCAGCTGTGAGTACCACCTGCCTCCCTCCCCGGGCTCCCGCTGCCCAGCCTCCTCCTCCCCTGCCGTCCCCCCCTTCCCTGGCCTTCTCCTGTCTCTGTCCCTCTCCGTCTCGTCCAGTCTTCCCATGCACCCTTCCCTCCTTCCCCCGCTCTGTCTTCTCCACCCCTTTCCGTTCATTCATTCTAGAATATTTCCTGAACTCTGTGCCAGGAGCTGTGCAAGGAGCTGGGAAGACAGCGTTGTATATAAATCCTACACGGGCCCCGCTCTGGGGTTGTCCCTAGACTCGTGGGAATAAACAAGCTTTAAGTCATTGTACAAGGACAGTTGTAATGAAGGGATGAAGGGCGAACGCCGGAAGTCCTGAGAGCGGGGCTGACGACCCGGGCCACCTGCGCAGTGTCCCTGGGGCCCTGCACGTGCAAGGGCACCGTGCGGGGGGTTCATGCTCTGCTGTTGGCCTCCTGAAATTCACACTGGGTTTTGAACACGGTGCCCTGTATTCAAGTGTTGCATTTGGCCGTGCCAGTTATGTAGCAGCCCTGCCTGAGAGCAAGGGGGCCGGGGAGCTGGCTGTCCTCGGGGGCCGGGGAGGGCCTCCCAGGAGTGACAGTTGCACTGACTTGCGAAGGGTGAGTAAGAGTTAACCAGGCCTCGGCATGGGGCGCCGGGAGGGGAGCGGGGAGCC